CCTGACATTCTGTTGTAACGAATTCCCACCTTAAATATGAATTTTACCTCAGTGTTTAAGCTGGTAGCTCATCCTGATGGCCGAATTGAGTTTTTCAGGATGTGCTACCCCTCTATTAGAGCAGCTTTATTCAGGCACAGGCTATGAACGCAGCTGTGGCATGCAGTAGGCAGAGTCTGGTTCCTTGCTAAAGCTAAGCAGGCCAGAGCCTGGTCGGTACACTGGTGGGAGACCATTTGTGAAAGTGTAGCTTGCTGCTGCAGCTAGTTTTAGTCCAGCAAGCAGGTGTTGATCATTCCGTGAAAAAAATTACCCAGTATGCTATTAGCATTTCCACTTTAGTTGATATTTACAATGGTGTAAAATAATCAATTTGTAGATAAAACGGTCCAGGTAATTTTTTACAAATAGGGTACAAAAACAGGTGTTCCATTACTTTTAATAACAATAATAATAATATAAAAATAAAATCACAAACTGCAAAAAAAATTACTCAATAATTATTTTCCCTTATTAGTAGACAGTAGTGCTGCATGATTTTTTTTGGTTTCAAATAGAGATCATGATTCTCCCACAATTCTGAAAGGCAAAATAACATGTAAATTAGTAGAGGCTGTGACAACATATTAATTGCTTTATTCTATTCAAAAATTTTTAATTAATTTGAATGAATAATAAAAAAAAAAACAGTTTGAATGAATGATTCCAATGACTCATAAATACATCACTTGTTCCATTACTGAATGGAACAACGTTTTTGAACGAATCTCTTGAATGAATGGTTCACTGACAAAAAATTTTCTTAAGTTACTTGTCGCCACCTTTTGGCGAAACAATGTAATCAACATTGTAAACAACAGATGCTATTTGAAGTGCCAATTTAAAGTGAAAATAAATGATTTGCTTCATTTTGATCGTTTGGTTTCAAATAGAGATCATGATTCTCCCACAATTCTGAAAGGCAAAATAACATGTAAATTAGTAGAGGCTGTGACAACATATTAATTGCTTTATTCTATTCAAAAATTTTTAATTAATTTGAATGAATAATAAAAAAAAAAACAGTTTGAATGAATGATTCCAATGACTCATAAATACATCACTTGTTCCATTACTGAATGGAACAGCGTTTTTGAACGAATCTCTTGAATGAATGATTCAATGACAAATAATTTTCTTAAGTTACTTGTCGCCACCTTTTGGCGAAACAATGTAATCAACATTGTAAACAACAGATGCTATTTGAAGTGCCAATTTAAAGTGAAAATAAATGATTTGCTTCATTTTGATCATTTATATCCGAACTATAAACTTTATCCCAGTACTTCTGTGATATTAATGATTGTAAAACAGAAATGATACTGTGTGCTTGAAAATACTGTTTGTGAAGCTGGTTCATACCTAAACATAACTCAGCAGCAGCGCCAACACAGATTTGAATGTTCCGATATGACTGTCAAAGGTTTAACAGACACAGACAAATCGTTGTCATTTAGAAACAAGATCGCGTGGGTGTTCGAATCGAGATTGCGATCTTTTTTCGATTAACCGTGCAGCTCTAGTAGACAGTACCATTAAATTGATCCTGTAACATATGACAAGATCCGATTTGCATAGATTTTTTTAAACTGAGCCGGACACTACCCTCAACTCTACAAGGCTGTTGCAGTAAGGTGAGCAATGACGAAATCAATCCACATATCAGCTGTAGTATTTCATTGGTAGAGTAGAGTTCCTAAAATAACATCAGACTGCATAACCATGCTAAAA